ATTTACTTGATCTTTTTGTTTCGGTTTTCATTTCATTTATTTTCTTTTTTCTACTTTATTACTAACACAACTATCACTCACCTCATTAGCAGTTTAGTTTAATATTTGCTGCGCGTCAACAACTTGCCACAAATAGATTGAAAGTAAGTATGTATTTCATAAAAACGTAAATATATATACTATTTTAAGCTTTGTTCAAACTTTTTTCATTCAAGCTATCCAAATTTACGATGTTTCGATTGGTATCGATGGCAAATATTTAAAAACTGTCCTACGTCAAAATATCACAATTTTATTCTGACAGTAATTAAAATGTGTTTTAAAAACTACCGGTGAGTACATGCTTTTGTATTAAATTAAGAATAAAAAGAAAAAAAAAATCGCATGCAAATATGGGTAAGGAAAGCTTTTTGATTAAAGCTGCAAGCCTACATACGGAGTGTATTCTTCACAAAATCGCGCTTCAGATCGTCGTGCTCTCTCAATCATGGAGTAAATTTAAAAGCGTTCCAGCTATCAAAAATCGGCAAAGTAATTATTAAATCCGATGGAGCCGTCACAACTGAAATTTTTTGTTGACAAAATTTTTCTAGTCCTTCCACAGACATGGGGTATTCAAAATTCCAGTCGCTATTCTTAGTTTAGAGAAGTGATGGGCAGAAAGATTCTTTACTTTGCGCACGTTTAGACAAAATGCCTTTGTGTTTTGGTCCATTTTCACAGAAAGCTGTGCGCACGATTCAGTTATTAACAATATTCATGGCTATCAATGAATCCATGGTAGTCCAAATTTTCGTGAATCCTACGAAAATTCTATCACCGAACTCGAATAGCTATGAACGAAATCGGATTCAGTGGTAGCTCCGATTTACATTTTTAATATAATTTCTGAGCTCTGGATCCGCGATCTCCTCAATCTTGATTTGTTGTAATAGAAAATGTCCTTTAAATGCATCAAAAGATCTTTAAAACAGTTTTCTTAACTATAATGCAAAAACAAGGATGCTACCCTTCTGAGCCTGTTATATACAAAGCTGTCAAGGTAGTCTCTTCGCTTGATCCGATGGATTGTAATAATATAATTACCCTGTACTGACGCTTAAATGACACAAAAAAAAAAACGACGAGACACGTAAACTCCATTTTGGGTTATTGCAAATCTCTATATCGTGTCTCTAGATCAGATTATTTTCCCAAGTTATTTTCATTGCGAATGAAAAGAAATTCAAACTTTAAGACGGAAAATGTTACTCATACGCCACACAGTGGCGCAACCCATGAAAGTTAGCCGGACAAAATGATTTTATGGTCTTAAACTATAGAACGTACTAAAATAAGTCAATTAATGGTTCGGCAAGGGGGGTCTATTGCGCACCACATGTGCGGTACAGGGTTAAAAGTGGTAATTTTTTCACTTAATTCAGTATATGGTCAGTTAAAAGTTAAAAAGGACTTTAAAAGTATGTACTTTTGTCAATAACTCTTGAATGTTAACACTTCTGCACGTAAGAAAAATGTTAAAATTAATCGCATATTTTATGTCAGCGGACATTTGTTGAATTAAACCGTATTGAATTACCTCAAAATTTTACAATGAATTTTGTCCGGCTAAATTGATTAAATACGCCACTGTGCGCCATGTAAAAGTGCGACCATGTACGACATGGCGTATGAGGAACATTATTTTCTGCCCCTATTTCATAAAAAAAAATCATTGGACGTTTTTATTTGATTCTGTGTAAGTGTCCGAATGAAAACATTTTTTGGGTGCAGATTTAAGCAAACTTAAACTATAAAATGAAATTATTTGCGTTACAAAAGTTTTTTCTTTTTGCTTTTCTATTTCTGCGCCTCGTGGCGGAAATGCGAAATTCGAGCATGGGAAATAAAAGTGGAACGATTGAAACGTGCATTTCTTTCTTGTGCAAGAAGTCAACACGGATTGTGTGCGATCCAGCCACAGTTAATGGTGATACGCTAACCACAAAGCCAGACAATAAACTTTACACACAAAATAATGATTATATTCGCGAAACTATGGGTAAATCAATTATATAAATAGGCAATCATGTTCCCTTTACACCCCTTTTACGACTAAACTATACTTCTAAGGTATAAACAATTATATATCATTAGAAAGGTATTTTGATGCTGATGTGCAGGCAATTTTTAAAATTTCAAATTAGTTTAAAATAGAGCGAAAAAATCAATTCAAAAGTCACACCAATACCAATACCGTACATGTACATGGTTGGGGCGGAAATGCCTCCTAAATGTATGCTTTAATATTGATACTGAATTACAGAAACGTGCTAAGCAGCAGTTTAGGAATAAGATGTATGTATGTATGTACATGAATAGATTAGACTCAAACAAGGAAGAAGGTGAAGTTGAGTATGGAGAAGAAGAAAGGGATAAAGCAAAGATTAACAGAAGTACGAGAAACCGAAACATGAAGACAAAGAGGAAGGTAAATTTAAGTTCTTAATAGTCTACATATGTAATCGCAAAGATGTGGGTGAATATGTAGATGGAGAAAAGATCGAAGATAAAGATCTGGTTAAAAGTCAAGGAAATGATAAATATAAAAATTAAAAGATAAAGATATAAAAAATAATATCTATAGATAAAGGTAGAGACAAAGACAGAAAAAGAAAGAGATACAATTGAAGAATGACATGTTAAGTTGTTTTATGTTATGTTATGTTTTGTTATGTTGTGTTATGTAACGTTATGTTTTGCTATGTTACGTAATGTTAAGTTATGTTATGTTATTTTATGTTATGTTATGTTATCTTATGTTATGTCATGTTATGTTATGTTATCTTATGTTATGTTAAGTTATATTATGTTGTGTTGAGTTGTGTTATGTGGTGTTGTAATGTTATTTTATGTTATATTCTGCTATGGTGTGAAACGCATTTCACCTCAATTCAGCTCAATTAACTCAACTCGGCTCAGCTCAGCCCACCTCAGCTCCCCTTAATTTAAAAGGTTGAATTTCAACCGCTGGGCGAACACTAGTTACAGTAAAACTGCGTACATAGTTTTTCTCTCTGATATCAGGATTTTTTAAAAGGACTTTGAAAATTGAATACTTAATATGAGTAATACAGAAAATGGTTTAAAAAATTTATTCTGGTGTACTTAGGAAAACAGAATGGGTATAATGCATCAAAATTTGCTAAACAAATATATTGTGTTACTCAACGGAAAATTACAGTTTGTTTGACAGATGTCAACCGAAAAAGTTTGAATGTGATACAGAACTCGAGATCAGTGTGCCTTAAAACATATTACGTTTAATTCTTGGCATTTTTTTTTTATTTCGAGAGAAATTAACAGCCCCTTCCACAGTTGTATACTCTTAAGATTTTAATTTGACGAAAATTCGTGACTAGCGTGTCTAAAACCCTTACCAGTAGCATCTAAAAAATATTTTCTTATTTTTAGAAAAAATACAGTTATTTGTCAGATGTCAACTCTCAACGTTTTCATTTGACATAAAATTCGTGATCAGCATGTCAAAAAACGTAATAAGGGGTATTTTCAAAAAGATTTTCTTAATTTTAGAGAAATTGGCAATTGATTTAACAGCTGTCAACTGTCAAACTATACATTTTATGGCATATTCGGATTTAGCATTACAACAATACTACGATCCCGCAGTTTTATTATAATCGTAACAGCCCTAATTTTTCACGTAAAAGATGGCTTGTCCGACCACTGTGCGGCGTATGGTTTTAATGAGAAGCTATTTTCAATGCAGAAATACGCTCGGAAATTTACCTTTGCCTGCTGAGGGGTGACCGCTATTAGGAACAACTTTTTTGTTTGGATGTTACTCGGTCCAGCGATCGAACCTTGGATCTACGTAGCGGTAGTGTAGTGCTCACCTCTAACCACTCAACCACGGCGGCCTCCCAACCATTTCATTGTTTTTTGTTTTGTTATTTTAGTATAACTTTTTCGAATCCTGTAAGTCCACTAAGATCTTCGTACTTCGGCTCTCTTTTCTTCAATTGAAGATGACTTTGTTCACGTATCCGTATTTCTATCGTCTGGTCGAGTTGCATTTTCTGAAAGATTTTTCAAAACATTTTATAAAATGTTCCAATACGTAGAGGCTAAAAATGATTGCAGAAAAATATCCGTTTGTGTGTCTTCTGAGTTCCAGTTGAAAGTAAGCATCATTTCGACATAAAAATAAACACTCATTCCTAGGGTTTTTCTAACGCTAGATAATGTCTCAGCTTTTGATTTTTACACTTAGTTTGAAATATCCAAATGAATGCATCAAGCTATTTTCATAAGAATACATACGAGGGTTGCTACTTAAGTTTTTAGATACGACAAAACTGATTTGAATATCTCAAATCGGGTATTGTCAACGTAAAGTTAAACATTTTTTATGGTAAACGTACTCAGAACATTTTGTCACCGAGTGTTATTTGTGTGTGTGTTTTTTTTTTTCAAATACTCGATTCCAAATTCTATCCAAAACATGTGATTTGAACGTATTAACCGCATATTCAGGCCCCGAACGGCGGCATTCGATATCGAAATTTGGTTTTAAGGCCACGGCATACGATGGCGCATGCTTCTCGTTAATTTAAATTGTATTGGGAAGAAAGTATAGTGCTTATCATAACCATACGTCACTCACGTATTGTCCAAGATTTTACTATTTATTTTATGTTTTTGGAATTCTAATTATTTTTTATAAAAGGTATAGCGTATTCCTCCGATTTTCAATGTTTATGCAATATTTGAAAAAACTTTGGCAAAAATTTCGGGCTTCTTAATTTGATTTTCTGGAAATATTTTCAGTATGCAGTGTTTTAGCCCATTCAATTTTAGCGCAATAAAATGCAAGTTTGAATAGCTGTTGGTTTTTGACAATTTTATTTTATTTTTTTGTTGAAGATGTCAGTCATTTCGGGCCCAGGTGTCAAATAGCGTGGACCTCGCAATTTGTATTTATTTTTTTATCCGCAACTTAATTAGCAACCCTCGTATGGGTTTTTTGAGGCAACTGGCTATTATATTGGGTTAGATATCCACGCTTCTCACAAGCGGATGTTTCCTTAAACTAAAAAAAAGTCTTGAAAATCCCACAACTCTCGCGCCGGTATTGCCAACATTTGTTTGAAGGGTTATTGGTTTTTTTTTAGTTGTTAAATAACTGATATTTATTTTTAGTTTATATACATTATTAACATCAACTTACGCTCACTGTCAGAATGAAAGTCGATACAAGAGCATTGTTAATTTTTTTTTACTGGCACAGTTTATTAAATAATTCACTTATAAATTTATAATTGTAAATTTAGTTTATAATTCAATTTAAACAATTGTTTTGTTTGCCGGAAAATATTTACGTACGCCCGTTTGTATGTAGTTAACCAACACACTTATTATTTAGCTAGATACACGACGAAAAAAGAAATTAGTGCTAAAGACAATACATATGTATGTAGTTACGCTTAATAAACTTTAAAAGTTTTTCTCTGTTACTTAAAATGTACTTAGGTAAATAAATTTTGTAATTTTAAAAAATTTTACTAATTAGGAATAATTTATTTTATTGTTGCTTTAGTATTTAGTTTATGTGTGGATGTACATAAATATGTATGCAAATGTGTATTTGTAAATGTGTATGACTGTGTGACTGAAACGAATTCACGAAATAAGGCCATTAGCTGCTTAAAAATATGTAATAAATATCTAAAATTTAGTTTAAATTATTATTATTTTTAAATGTAAATACTTTTTTATATTTATTTTAATACCAACTTAGCTGTGTCAGTAATTTTTGATGGGAAAGCATGATTATGTATATTACATTTGAATTAAAGCATTGCAGTTTATTTGCTACGCAACATAAATATATAATTATAGGCTGGTACTTATGTACTTAAATATGTATGTATGTATGTATGTATATGCTCCCATATGTACATATATGTATGTATATAATTTTTAGTTTCCGCTACTTTAGTTTTGAAATGTTAGAATTGTTCGATTACATACTAAGCTTCTGTTTTTGATGATATTCAATGCATTTGCCTTGCCTTCGAATTTTTTTTTTTTTACAACTGAGCTATATCTAACTATGCAAGTTTCA